TAGATAAATACATATATATATATATATATATATATATAGTTACAACAGCGGAAGTCACATGACGCTGCTGACACATTTGGCGCTGGTAGCGTACGTGAATTTTCTCGATTGATCATGAATGATTGGGGAGGCCTGAGGGGACGCCCCTTTGTTAGTATATAAGCTTGGCAGAGAAACCAGCGAGATATAGATAATTAAAGAAGCAAACAGTAGTGAGGGTAAGTAAAGTGTGTGTGAATCACTGTGATTTATAGTGTGTCTTATAAAAGCTGTTAAGTTTAAAGTGACGAGAAACATATTGACTGTGGAATTACTGTGTATTAAAAGTTTGTATCAAGGAAGAATAAACTGGTTTAATCAAGAAAGGACTTGTTTCGCTGAAGTTCATCAGAAAGAATTTATACCAGAAATTATCAAACAAGCAGATACGTAACAGTATATATAAAGGTGGGATATACCCATTTTGGGTCATTTTATGGTGGGTCAAAAGGTTAAATATACCCATAAATTTAAGGGTTTTGGTCAATTACTTAGCCTGGTTTCGATCAAGTTAAATGTAACACACATTGAAAAACAAAAATGTTAAGCTTGCCTATTTTAAGTAATTATGTGGGGGTCAAGATGCCACAAAAAGCATAATTCTTTTTTTTTTACTATTACTCCACTGTATTTTGATCACTTTCCAGGGGATTTAGTACAAAGATATTTTTATACAGTTTCCAAACATAGATATAGATAATTTTGGAATTTTTGTATTTTGCTCAATTTTTCAACAAGAAAAGAACAATTAGGGGTTTTTGTGAATTGTTCATGTGTATGCCAAACACCCCCCAGTAACACAGCGGTATGTCTGTGGACTTACAATGCTAGAATCCGGGTTTCGATACCCATGGTGGGCAGAACACAGATAGCCCATTGTGTAGCTTTGTGCTTAATTACAAACAAACAAAGTAAGCCAAGCAACTTTCATGGGATTTGGTACAAAGATACCTTCTTGCAGGTTTCAAGCAGTGCTATAGACAGTTTTTGACTATTTTTATGGTGTCAAAATTAGCCATGTTGGGATTGCATGCTGAATGTTGCAAATGTTGGCCTCTTTAATTTTATCAGTTATTTTAGAACCTTGTATTATTTTTTTGTAAGTTACTTTAGAACCTTGTATCATTGATTTATAAGTTACTCTAGGACCTGTAAAAATTCTTTCTGAGTGACTTCAGTGATACAAGTCCCTTTTTGATTAAAACTAGTTGATTCTTTCTCGTTACAAAATTTGTAATACACTTAATTTCCACGGTCATTTTAAACTTAACTACTTTTATAAACACATGCTAAAATTCACACACTTTACTTCATTAGGGTTTAGCTGTGGGGTCTGGAAGGGGCTTCCCATTGTCTGAGGCTGATTAGGTCGATGGCTAATATATCCTCCTTGTGTAAAAAACAGTAAATCATCCTTTAATGTATTTAATTCACTTTGAAATTTACTAATGTTTTCCATTTGTACTTTTTGCCACTGTTGTCTTTCCTGCAGTTTGCAACAGTTTCCTGCAACTGTTGGAGACTTTCTTCCTGTTTCCTTTATTGTTCCAGTTGCCACTGCTGTAGCTTCTCTTCTTGTTTCTTTTCTCTCTCCTCCAACCACTGCTGTAGCTTCTCTTCTTGTTTATTTTCTTTTTCCTCCAACAACTGCTGTAATCTCTTTTCTTGTTTATTTTACTGTTCGAGCTGCCACTGTTGCAAGTTTTCTTGCCACTGCTGTTGTCTCTTTTCTTGTTTATCTTCTCGTTCCTCTTGTTTCCTTTGCTGTTCTTGTATTGCTGCCATCAAATCTGTTAAGCTGTAGTTTGATTTGCCACTTATCGTTTTCATCTTTTTTTTTGTCCCACTCTCTGACACCAGTTTGTTACGTATCTGCTTGTTTGATAATTTCCTGTAAAAATTTTTTCTGAGTGACTTCAGCGATACAAGTCCCTTATTGATTAAAACTAGTTTATTCTTTCTCATTACAAACTTTGTAATACACTTAATTTCCTCAGTCACTTTAAACTTAACTACTTTTATAAACACACGCTATAATTCACAACGATTCACACACTTTACTTACGGTGCCTACTGTTTGCTTGACTTAATTATCAATTATTTCTCTTCAATCTATCTCCAGCTTATGTACTAAAAAAGAGGGCGTCTAGCAAATGCTGGGACACTCATAAGGTTGCCTGATAAGTCACGATCCTTCTAGAAACTCCAGCACGCATGCTCCCAGTGTCGTGTGACTTCCGCTTTCATAACATTACTTTAGAACCTTGTAGCATTGATTTGTAAGTTACATTAGGACTTTGTATCATTGTTTTAAATGTTACTCTGGGACCTTGTATCATTGATTTGTAAGTTACTTTAGGACTTTGTGTCATTGTTTTAAATGTTACTCTAGGACCTTGTATCATTGATTTGTAAGTTACTTTAGGACTTTGTGTCATTGTTTTAAATGTTACTCTGGGACCTTGTATCATTGATTTGTAAGTTACTTTAGGACTTTGTATCATTGTTTTAAATGTTACTCTG